AGGGCCTCTGTAGACTTGAAAGCATTACATAGGTTAACTCATAAACTGCAAACTGTATGTCATCGTAAAAAGCTTCTATACATATATATTCTGTGTGCAACAGTGAGCATTTTAAAACGTGAACTGAATTCGCTCCGTATGGGTGCAAAGTTATAAATACAAAGGAAGTGAATTGGCTTCCAAAATATAACTAACTCAGGGTAAGGGCTATGGTCAGGGATGCAGCTGAGTTATAAATAAAATGGATGCCTTTGAAATTGTTTTAAAACAGCCATGAAAAGAAAAGTGACCCCAATCTTCAAAGAATTTCACAAGACTTGACATATGAATTGTGTATGCGTAGCATTCAAACTCCAGGAAGAGATGTGAATCAAAGTTTCTTTAAAATATCATGTTGTTTGAGGATATATTGTTAAATATGCAAATGTATGCACATTTTATGACAATGCAGGAAGCTCATATCACACACACATATCAATATGTGAATGGTATATATATATCAAAGGTGAGTTGAAGGGGGAAATGTGAGGCACAGAAGGAAGAATGACTGCAATCACTCTAATAATAACTCACTAATAATATAGATTTTATTTTAGGTCAGTTCACTGTCAGCTCAGACTGTCAGTCAGTCAGATTTAGTTGACAAATTCACAGTAAATCAAACATCAACTATTTCTCTTAAGTCAGCATTGGTATGAGTTCAAAATGTCTACCTTTTGCACTAAACAGCGATATTACTTTTTGTAAAATATCATTAACTATAAGAGAGCAAAATCAATCAATCAACCAATCAGTCGATCAATCTTTTTGTCTCATCAGTTCATTAAGTTCCTTGTTAACACTGCAGCTTTATAATCTAATTAAACAATTCCATCACCCAAGCTGAACCTCGTTTTAATGAGCATCTTTTTTTTCTTCTTCTTCCTGTGACTGTGACCGGCAGCTCCCTCAGGAGAGCACCACTGAAATTAAACAACTAAACAAGACACACACTCAAGTTTCACACACGTAATCCTCTTAAAACACTGAAGGGGGATTGTCAATAAATTCTGATAACAGCTGATACTTCCTCGGTGCATCAACATGTGAATGAATCTCATTGCTCTCATGTTTTGTTTGACAGTGCAGCTCCTGTGCACTGCAGTGGCTGTGCTGGCCAAATGTGATTCCATACTGCCATCTTGTGGTGGCACAGAGCAGCTGTGTCAGGAGAACATGTTATGGTACTGCAAGGTTAAATGGTTTCCTGATTTAAATTTGCAGTGTGACTGTTTACAGAATTAGCTGGCTATGGACCACGTCACACCTTTAATCATTAATACTAAAAGCAGCCATGTGGATCTTTATAATTGGTTGGATATGTCGACACAAACAAAACGAGCAGGCAATGTGGCAGCAAGACAAGACACAGGCAGTGGTGGAGGAATGTTCAGATATTTTACTTAATTAAATACCTGTACTTTCTTAGACCTGCATTCAGAATCTACTATAGCATTAATATATACTTAAAGTACCATAAGTAAAAGTAATAATTATGCAGAATGGCCCATTTTAGAATCATATGTTATATTACTGCATGATGCATTAGCGAGTTAATGTTGCAGCTGGTGAAAGTTGAATCACTTTATATATTGCTGTGTAGTTTAAAGGTCCACTCTGTAACATTTAGGAGGATCTATTGGCATAAATGTAATATATATATGTAAATATATATTCATAGGTATGTTTTCATTAGTGTAGAATCAGCTGAAAATAAGAGTCATTGTGTTTTTCTCCTACCATAGAATGACTTATGTCCACCATGTTGAGCCAGCATGTTTCTACAGTAGCACAGAATGAACAAACCTAACATTGGCTCTCGATAGGGCCTTTCCGCGTGTCCGCATGTCCGCGTGTTTTGCGACAACAGTAGTTTCTCCTACACACTTGGAGTTGGTTGCAATCTGCAAATTCATCACTAGATGCCACTAAATCCTACACACTGGTCCTTTAACCTATGATAATATATAATGTTGTTGGAGAAATGTATTCTGTATTAATTATCTAAATCTTCAAATAAACTCACAGCTAAAGATATCAGTGGATTAAAATGTATAATATTTGCCTGCAAAATGTTGTGCAGTGCACGTATTACATACAGTCCGCCATTACACACAGGTGGATAGCTATATAGAAATCTTTTCCAGAATCCATCATCCACAAACACACACACTTGAACTACAATCAATTTGTTCCATGCTTTCGAAAGGTCTCATCAATTCTGTGTCAATAATCTCAATGACTTTAGACATTTATCTGCTCGGCAAGATTGTAATTACCCGTAGTCTCTGCCTCCTGCTGCTGTCCGTTTGATTAGACCACTATTGATATTCCGTGGACTGTGAGGAAAAATGATTGCGCACATTATTTCACATTCCTGTGTGACTTTTCAAGCCGAGACTGGAGAGGTACAGGTTCTGCAATGTGACTCATGTTATCAGTTCTTACAGTGATGTAACTGATATTCCAAACTGCAATACAGCCATGATACAGATAGACTGTCTTGGATACAGCAAAGGCAAGCCAGAGTTCATTGGTCATTTGATTGAGATTTCTGTAGTCTCTTCTTTTCAGGTGTAAAGATGTGTGCTTTTAAAATATAGATTTTTACATATTTGTCAGTGGTTTGACATTGAAGAAGAAACAATATTTTATCATTGCTTGGGCTCGGAGGTTTTCTTGTGCAAAATCCTGCTGAGATTTTAACTTTATACACAAAATGTGTCCTTACTATACATACAAAGTGCAAAACTATAAAATATTCAGTCTTCAGAATGGAAAAGAACATGCATTTTTTTCCTTTTGTCTTGCAATGTATTACATAAGTGTCTGTTATAGTAGCGTAAACTGCAGTTACTAGCAATGAGGATTCAATGAAAATTAGAATTTAAAAAAAGTAGTCAAAAAAGAACAGAATCAGTCAATTCAACATATCATTTTACCTCGTATAAATGTAGGATTTACTGTGGTGTGACTCAAACTTCATTATCTGTATTTACAGTATTACAGCATAATCAATGAACACCATGAGAGAAAACCTTTACTCCACATCATTTGAAATACTTAATTCAGTAAATTGCTAATGTATTTTTACTTTCTACTACCATTTTGAGGAAATGACTGCTGCAGACTGCTGTTTTGATCAGATGACTAGTTGCAGTGTTTCACAGCATGATGTGATAATGACCATTTGATCTGAAAATGCAACAATGATTAAAATCAATTATGTGTGAAGCCTTTAGCAAACTGGAACTATAATCCAGCTATTTTGCTTGCTTGCTTGGTTGTCTAATTGGTCATGAGATTTCACATTATTGCATTCAATTTAATAATTCATGCAGACACAATATACAAAATGCATTTTAATACACATTTCTTCAGTAGCCTCTGCTCAAAGAACTACTCTTAACATTTTATGTTTGATTTTCATAATTAAATTCTCCAAAGGGTTCATGGCGTCTTCCAAAATACCTAAAATGCAATTCTGCATGTCACTTATGTCTTCACTTATAATAACTGTGATTATCTTTTGGGTTGATTAAAAATGTGACACTAATTTGACTGCTTTAAAAATTGATGTGTTTTGTTTCAAAACCCAGGTGAATGCAGAAATGTTGAAAGCTGAGTTGTGCTGCTTTCTTGTGGCCTTATCTGGGTTTGGCTGGGAACACAGCACAGTAGAGCAGACATTTTTATTGCACATTCAGCCTTACTGATTGGAGTGACCAAATACAGTAGAGATTAGAATTGGCTTCAAAAAGAGCTAAAAGTGGGTGTGCAATAAATGTGAAAATTAGATAAATGTGGGCCAGTGAAAATTTTTACAGGCTTGAAATCCAAATCTCTGCTGAAAGGAGCTACCTTTGTGATATATTAGAACTGCTGGCTAAAAAGGAATACACATTAATGTTTGATGTTGCTTACTGTGCATAGCCAGCAGGTAGAAACAAGTGTCTAATAAGGGTTTGTTGGAAGCATCTGGTGGATGACTGAAGGGTTGGATAAGGTAACCTCTGTGGAAGAGCTTTGGCCTGAGAGTGGTTGCAAATGTTTTTATTTTATGATGAAATATTACATGTTATTATTATTGCAGTAGATCAGGTGTTACAGTTGTGTCAGTTGCACATTTATAGAGAATTTGAGGACTGCAGGGGTAACGCGCTACAGAGACTGAGAGGGGATGATCAAAAACCTAAAGCCTGACTGACCATCAGACGGTCCATTTATGATCAAAGCTGAACATGAAATATTTGCAATGGAGAGTACTTGAGAGGGTCAAAACCTGCACCTTTGATATTTGCCATGTCCCACTGATGATCTCTTTTGAAAGGGATTTTTGATTGATTCAGCTGAGGTTCAGGATTTAGGATTATGAAGACTGGAAACATGAGAGCACCATTATTAATTCCATTCCCCTTTTCAACTTTGAGGCAACAAAAGTATTGACTAAGGTTATATTGTCAAACTGTCTGACATTCATAATGAAGGCTCCTGGTTATCCAGAGAAGAAGAACTTTAGTTACTCAACTTAGACACGTCTGGGTAATGAAGTCATTTAGAAAATTGGTTGTTTTTTTCTTCCACTTGGAACCTCCAAAGAGTAAAGTAACCCAAGTGCATCTTTAAAGGAAAGTCATTCTGTGTGTGTATATGTGTGTGTATGTACAGTGTGATGATCTCAGAGAGTCCTCTCACTTTGTATTCTGCTGACTCAGAGCTAAGGGAGCTGAAGGGAATTAAGACTCACATCATGCAGTCCCACAGGGACACTGCTGCCCTAGCATCTGCGACACACAAACACACACATTTGCATGTCTGCAGGACAGCTGGTCTAATCCACTGTACTTGTAATTTAAGTTTTGGAAAATGACCAAGATTTAAAAACTGCTTTGTTGTCCTTATAAACAAATGGCACAGCTCCAGTATTGTAAGAAGTATGTATAAAGAGTGTCAACAATACACACATTAAACCTTTTATTGCTATCATTCATATTCATACACCAAATAAACATGCATAGTGTTACTAGTTATTTACAGGTTAAGCAATCTGATGCCTATATTAACGTGGTACTACAGTATATAAATACAATTCACATGAAGATGTCCTAGGAGCTGTGAGGGTGGTAGCCAACGTCACCTTGAGGCATTATTTGACACGTCCCACAACAGGAAAGAAAGGGCAGTCCAACGGTAGCCATTTTCCATCTTTCTGTTGCCCAATGTTGCTGAAAAGTTGCTCCAAATACGTCCTGGCAATGCCTAGAATGTTCTGCTTCATACCTTTGTTTCTGCAATGTATTCTCACCTTCCTTGGATATTTGTCACTATCCAAAATGCTGTCCATTCACAGCAACCCAGCACTCATAATGTAGTTGCAACCATGGAGCCATAGGACAACTGATACTCTTGAACCATGTGTAAGGTTGACTTCATCACTGGGTGACAAAATGTTCAAATTTTGCATCCACACTGTTGTGGTTCTTTGGCTCCATATTGGCATTCATTTCTTGTACTATAAACTGAGAAGATAACTATCAAAACTACAACTGTGGTGCTATATTGTATAAAACCTGACCGTCCGTGTTTTATCACATTAACCTTCTCAGTGGGTCAGCGGTCACTGACGTCCACGGAGCAGCTCAGTCGGAGGCAGACGAACACTGTCACTGATCACTCATCCTTTTAAAGAGTGAGGTTCAAATAACTGAAAATGAGAACAGAAGGTTGAACATCTTCACTTCTGGACCCAGATGAGACCCCAAATCAAAGTTGCATCATTAACAATGAAAATGCAGGTCTCATCCTTACAATAGCCTCAGCTGAGCAATGTATGATGACTCTTCTCCATCATATTAAACCAAAACAAAATGAAGCAAAGCAGAAGAAACAAAGATACAATAGATAACCATGCAGGAAGACCGGAAACAAAAGTAAGTCCTACTTTTCTATTATCATCAGGCAAGGAGAGGAATCAAACAGCTTGGTAGCTGATGACATATTCAAAAATAGAGTAAAACATGAGAGGCAGCGCAGCTAAAATATGAACATAAACAGTTTAAAAGGCAATTAAATATAGATAGATATTGACAATTTAGCTTGCCGTAATGTTCAATACACATCGAATGGTAGTTCTTAAAAATGGAATGTAATGACTTAGAGTATGTCACAGCAATATTGAATACAGCAATTAATAAACATGCATCTCTGTTGTTGAACTGAATCCTGTTTTCTATCTGAAATGTGTCATGTTCATCTGCTCATTGACTGCATGCTGTTTCAGAATTATCCTAACAAACATAATATTACCATTTGAAAATGCCCTTAATATCTCCTAGTTAAGGAACTAAAGGGAAACCAGGAAGAGTAAAATCAAACTGGAATCTTTGGTTCATTGGTTAACATCACTGATAGCAAACATACTGTATCACCTGAACTGAAACACAAAAAAACACTGTGGGGAGAGGTGTAGCCTATCCAAGAGATTTTTTCCATTCGGATAATGCAGAGATGATGACATCCTGTTGAAATAGTTTGGCCATTTCATTTGTATTCAAATCACTCTACAATGTCTAACACATCTAGGTTTGACTACTGCTGTATGTATTTCAAAAGCATAGTGAAAAACACTACCAGTAGCTAAGAAAGAAAAATGATTTCATACCTATCTCTTTAGGTGTTGCTATCCTCCACACCATTATATTGCATTATACTCACGCAGTTAGTATGGAGACCCAAAGTGTACAATATTAAATACATAAACTGAACGTAATTAAATAAATAATCAGATAATTAAATAGAGTAAAGTAAGTAAAGTGAAATAATTGTATAAATTATAAAAAAACAAATTTGTCATTCCAGTTCCAACAGTTCAGTCACATGCTTCACACTGCAGGCTCAGCTTGCTAGTTAGCTAGTATGTAAGAAAGAAAGAAAGAAAGAAAGAAAGAAAGAAAGAAAGAAAAAAAACGTTTTGCTCTTGTGTGTCTGTGTGTCTTTCTCTAAGGAACATCGTTAGAACCATTTAAATCTGATTTAGCCTACTAGCAATGGTAACACTGGCTCAGTAGTTTGATACCAGGTAACATAAATTGCAATTGTTGAGTCCTGCTAAAAGTAATGAAATACAATTTTATTATTCATATTTCATCAGTTATTATATTGTTTTACATATTTCCCTCTATTCAATTGTGATTATTTATTACAAAAGGCATGTATGCCATATAACTTCTTATTTTGTACAGTTTGTAGTTTAATAGTGTTTCACAGGCTGCCTTGTTGCCTTGAAATTGCAGAACAGATTTGTGTGATGACTAGTGTCATAATACGGTTCATTGTGGCTAGATTTCCAGAATACAACTGAAAGAATGAAAGGCCACTACATTGATAGTGTCAATGAAAGAAATAAATGCAGGCACAGAGAGACAGCGCTGCTCAGTGAATTAAAAATAGCTCACAGAAGGACATAGAAGAGAGATTTCAACAGCGAGGGGACGTGATCGCCCTTGGAAAACTTTATAGTTTTTAGCACAGCCTCCTTTTTGAGTTAGTTTTTCAGCTCGCCCATCTCTCTTTTTCATCCCTCTTCTCACATCTATTATTTTCCTATTTCACTCTAAATGTTGTACCTGCGGGCAGAAATGGAAAATGAAGTTTGTAAAGTGTCAATGATCAATCCATCACAACAGAGAATCAAAGTGGAACGGGCATTTGCTCTCCCTCAGCAACGCTAGCAAATTCTGCTTTAAAGCCTTAAATTACAGCTCCATCTTCTCCGTGTCAGACAGTAACAGCCTGTACGGTGATGCACTTAAAATGAATATACTACAGCGAAAAGTATTAAGACTGCCCATTTTTTTCTTTGTAAGCAATGTACTTTTAATCTCAAGGTGTATTATAATTGATCAAATCTCATCTTAGTCAGTGTCAGGTGGACCTGTTTTGTTTTTGTGTCTTCATTGGGCAGTGACTAAGGCAAACAGGAAATGGGGGGAGAGAGACATGCAACAAAGGTCAAAAGATGGAATCAGTCTGGCGATGCTGCAGCTATGTGGCGTGCACTGTAATCACTCGGCAAACAAGGTGCTCTGTGGTGACCGTGTTTTTAACAAAACCAGCTTCATAAAATTTAAAGCGACTCAAATCAACTACACATTGATATTTAAAAATGGAGCTGTAATCATAAGCATTACTTTTCCCCAAAATCAACCCTATATGAGTATGCTACAACGCTTATGAATCCAAATGTAGAAATTTTCCACACTCATCTCAAAACACACCTAAATAACACTTACTGTACATACATACGGTAAAATACACCTTTTGTCTACATACACTCTCTGTCTTGCACTCTCTGGGACAAATGCTGCACTCAAGCGAATGCTAAAAGTACAGATAATACGTCCAGTAGAGCAGGTTAACCATGACAAAAGAGAGGGGGAAGGTGACTCTGGAGTAGTTGTCTATGTGGTGGGGGTTCTCCACGTGACAGCAATATATGTAGCTGAGCACTTTGCGAATGGTGGCCAGAACAGTGAGGCACCGGTTGGTGGGCTCCGGAGGCGACGCCTCAGGCTTAGGCTCACTGCCCGAGGGGCTGGACGGGTTGACAGTGAGTTCTAGGGAGGTGGGAGCTGGGGTAGGAGTTGCTGCTGGCTCCTTGCGTCTCTTGACCCTGTTAGCATGACTGGAGATGGTGGTGACGATGCCGTTCATTTCGTCATCGAACTCGTGCATGTGGTGGGTGTACTGCAGGAGAGCGGGAGCCAGAGGAAGAATGAGTTTTGGATGCAAACAAAATCATGACACAACTAAATCTGAGAGCACGTAGCACTTGTTCAACTCACCCCCAAGTGGTCATGATGACATGTTGATGATGACGACGATGACAATGACCACCATCATGAGGACAATGACTACAATGACCACAACAACAGCAATAATGACCACAACAACGGACAATAAAACAGTATCCAGGGGGGTCTCACCATCAGCATGTGCGCATCGGCGTGAGTGAGGGTGCAGAAGTGGGCCACGGCGTACTCAATGAGCGCTCCAAAGATAAAGCTGAAGCAGATTCCCAAGTAAACATCAATGGCCTTAATGAAGCAGTTGGCATTGGGCAGTGACGTCCGGGCTCCCATCATCAGAGTGGTCATGGTCAGCACTGTGGTCACTCCTGCCACAAAAAAAAACAACACCAGTCAACTACAGATTCTTTGATCAACCCCTAAACCCCGGCTTCATATGGAACGCTACATGAACACACAATTTTCTGCCAAAGTTAGAACAGTTTTGTTTTGAGGGATTTCTATCTGTGCTGTTTTTGACTCCGCTCTTTTCACTAGTTTTTAAAGGACGTGCTTACCTGCAGGGAAAAAGAGAAAGAGGAAAAAAAGGCAGACAGAAAGCGGACTGATGCAATTTCAAGGTGAGCACCAATACCCTGTATTATTCAAACAACAACTGCATAACAATACCGTTGGCAGCATGTCACGTATTGAAGTTCATTATTTCAGAGTTTGTGTGGGGTGAAAAAAAAGAAGCATATCGCTAGCTGTTGTACAAGAAAATAATACGACCTGGATTTTCTCATATTCTCATATGCCCTGTATCCTTACATATGAGACAAAGGTTCAAATTTAACTGACAGACAATAACATAAAGAAAAAGATCAGCAACAACACAAGAAACAGGCAGCAGAGATCATCTGCACATACACACTGTGTTCTCAAAGCCCCCTGCAGTGGTTGTGGATCTAATTCAACACAACATCTATGTTCTGATGTTCCCACAAGATAACACCAGTGTCACAGATGCTCTCTTCAACCCCCAGCCCTCTAAAATCAAACCCAAACCAACATTTGTGCTGACTAAAGGAGGGTATCTTATTTCTGTGTATCTACTGATGACTGAAATACGTTAAAATCTTTATCTCATAACAATATACCTACAATGCTGCCCCATGACCTGGACTAAGCCTGGTACAATGTGAAAGTAAATGAAAATTGCTCACATTTTCACATTTGAGTGAAAAAAAAAAGAGACTGTGTTGCCCCATACCTATACAGATACGTGCTGGAACGGAGGACAGGGAGATCCAGAAGGAAACCCATGAGAGGACAACAAGCAGGCTGGAGGGAACGTAAGTCTCTAGGATGAAGTAGAGAATGCTTCTCTTCAGCTCAAAGTGGAAGACCAGCTTTGGGTAATTGCCTTTGGGAAAAGGGACACAAGGCTGTCAGTGTACTTGAGAACACATGTGGTGCCAATCACAAATCCTACATATAATGACTTTAACTTTACAATATTTAACAATGCTGCACTGCTGTTGAAACATTCAGCCCAGTTGTGTTATTTGTATGCAGAATGAAGGGACCGGGTTGAAACAGCCCTGGCAGTAACATTAAGCGATTTTTACGGTCAGTGTTACCAGTTTCATAAACGGCCTCTGAGACAGATGTGTAATGGTCCTCCACTGTGTACTGAGCCAGCTGTAGAGTGTCTAAACCACTGACAGACTCATTTCCTCTGGTCCAGTAGAACATGACATCATTGACGTTGTAACCCCCTGCAAAAGAGATTAAAATTACTTTCTTACAGAAAAATAGCTTAAAGCTGCATTAATCCATATTTTTATATTAACAATGAATCAAACAGGTGTGTAATGTGAAATGTGTTGCTCGCCCACAAAGAATTATCACCCCAGTCGTTAGTTCCCCTCAGCTCTATGCAAAGGCAATCACTACATTACCTACCTAGCACCTAACAGTAGAAGTTAGTGACTACCTGAACATAGTGGAGCAGTTACAGTCAGATATGTGCCATAGTCATTCACTTTACTCATTGATGTTCACTATAAAACTTGATAAGATGACGATATGTTATTGTTGTAGATAAAACAATACAGTTATATTTTCTTCTCCTGGAAGAGTTTCAGTGCTTATGCAGGTGAAAATATGACAAGCACATTACATATTAGCCTATTAAAGCTCCTCGAATTCTTACTTATCGTGATGATGATGATTATATTGAATTGTAACATTAGAAGTTTACTAAACCCAAAAGTTCCTATGGAGGGAACAGCTTGGAATCTTAATTTGCTGAAGCTATGCTAAAGTCTGATCCTCTTATGGTTGAGTTGTTTGGGATTGCAACCCATAGTGGGTGGTAAATTCCCTCTGATGTTAAATAACAGCACAAGAGAAACATTTGGCAAGAACCAAAGGGAATGTAGAAAAAAAAACACCTTTGAAAAACAAGTTTAAGACGTCATGTTACCCCCCGAGAAGCAAATGGGTAAGGTCTACACAGTTCAGCACTCCACTATATATGACGTTAAAACAACACATGAATTTGACATAGTATGTAACTACAACAACCCGACTTTGAAATACAACGTTAATGTTTCATGTATGTAATTACGGTCAGAGTGGAAACACAATATTCTCCCATTATTCACTCTAACACAGTGCGACAGAGAGGAATTACTAATGGGAATGCATTTATGGAGTTCACTCACTTCTTTATAAGGGTAGCAAAAAAGTCTTGATGAAGAGCTTAACTCTTGCCTCATACCAGAACAGACTAATCATGCATATTGCACTGGGCCCTAGGGAGCCTTGATAACCCAAATAAAACTTGGAATAAGACGGCGTGCAAAATGAATATGGTCAAAGATGCCACGGCTAAGTCTGGTAGTGCTTTTGATAGTACTGTGCAACTAGAATAATATCACTTAATAAGAACTGGTGTGGCTCTCATGATCAAATTTGTTGAGGACAAAAAGGTGTGATTAAAAAGGCAGAAGCTCTTAGGTGTATTTTCCTAATTTATCTGCAGAGGGAGCAAGAGAATAAGAAAAGAAAGAGGAAGTGCAGTTGGCTGAAGCTGAGATAGATTCTTCTTTCCTCTAGTGCAAATGAAATGTTCATTAATTTGCTGTTGCTATCCCCATTTAAACCCATATAGAGTCATGTATTATTGACCAGGGTGAGCCATGATGCTGCGAGCAAAGTCCCCTAATGAAGGACAGTGGTGACTTTGATGCTGAAAGGTCCTGTAAATTCACTGTTTTCTCTCTCATTGTAATTATCTTACAAGAAGAACTCATTATTTTCCTGACCTAGAGCCCTGACATTACACAAATGGATAGTGACATGCTGTGCAATAGCTTGGAAAGAGTACCAAAGGGGGTACATTCAACCTTCCAGTGCCCTGTGGCCCCTTGAAAACAAGTAGCCACATCCACAATCAAAGAGCCACCACCAAAAGTAAAATTCAAGCAAAAGATCACAAAAGACTGCAACTATCTTCTCACTCTCTCTGCTGTCAGAACACACTAAATATTTCACCGCAATCCCGATCCAAATGCCCCAACCCTCTCACAACGACGCTCTTTTTAAACCTTCATCCTGTGCAGAGGATCCACTTTTGGCACCGCATTAAAAGAAATAAATCCTTGAATATACATCTTCATAAAGAGATGGAGAGACAGAGCAAGAGGGAGATAGAGACTGAAGGAGAGGAGGAAAGGAGAGCGAGAGAGAAACAGAGAAGAAAACAGCAGAGATAGAGCAGCAGGTTGAGAGTGAGAGATTGCAAGAGAGGCTGGAAGAGAGAGGCAGACAGAGAGAAAAGAAATGTAGATATTTAGCCTGGAATTATTGAAGCAGCGGAGGAAGGATCCATCATCCTCTCTGTTACCTAACTTTAACCTCAAGATGTCTTTTTGTCTGCTAAGTGGGACTGGAGCTGCCGTTAAATGTTTTAGTTGGCACTGAGGTCCTGGTGGGCTTCTGGCAGGGATCAGACTTAGCTTAGCCGGGCTGGCTGTCATTTAATAGCATGAAGCAAAAGCAAGCTGGAAAGCAAAGGAGGCAGATGAGCGAGGGAGGATGAGAGAGGAGGGGGGCCCCCACTTTTTCTTCCTTCCATCTCTTGCAAAGCCAAAAAATCCATCTTGTCATGTTATTTAATCTTAATAACAATTCGCTTTAATTATAAACATGCTGCCACCATGTTTCAACGCGAAAGCATTGAAAATGTGCCAAAAGTAGGCAAATGACTCCACTTATGTCATGAAATTTCAGAACTCTCAAGTGAACAATGTTCCGAGGCTACTGGGAAGTCTGCATTCATAAGATATCAATATGAGTTTAAAGGATTTGTAAAATTAGGCGGGCTTGGTATCAGGCACAGGGCCGACTATGAAATATGGTGCTCATAGGCTTGTGAGAAAACATAAAAGCATATTTGGTCTGAAAGACTAGTTCAACATTTTTGGAAATACACTTCTTGGAGACAGATGAGAAGATTGATATCACTCTGACACCTGTGCATTAAAAGATCCATGTGGACTGCTGTTATAAACAAAAGTAAATGTACATATGTTTGGTTTCTCACCAGAACTCATGGTGTGTAGCGCTGTCTGCAGTTCCTTTCAAATTAAATACAAATCATGTAGTGTTTACGTGCATGTTTGTTTGCCAGCTGTCTTTGTTGTCCCTGCCTTTTTTTCCTTTCCTTTTCTTCGTGTATTACTGCCACTAACGTATGCATGTGCATCCTCATGTGTGACAGAAATGAGGGCCCACTCATGAAAATAAATTTTCCATAGTGCGACTAGAGGTCAGTAATTCCACAGGGACCCTTTAACTATGGCGCTGGAGCCAGGAGATTATTAGCTTAGTTTAGCAAAGCAGGGAAACAGCTTGGTGCTCTGTCCCAGCACCTAAAGTTCACTAATTAACATGTATCTTCTTAGTTTTATACGTACAGAAATCTTAATTCTTGTCGTCATTGTGAGGTTGCCTGATCTCAAGATCTCAAGGAAAACTTTCTATTTTTCCATTTATTTGTATGGATTAAACAGACAAGATGCAGCGCATTAGTTAGTGAGATTTCAAAGATGTTAGTGTTCACCCCTGCTTTAAATGTAAGTGCTAAGCTAAGCTAATGTACTCCTGCCTCCTGCCTCAATCTTTTCATCTTACTCTTACTCTTAACAGCATACTTTCCAGTGTGTTGAACTATTCCTTTAAGGGGTAGACACTGGAAGTTACCCTCCGCCTTCATCTTCGTTTTCACAACAGTCATTTATGACAGACAACATACACAGGAGAATACGCCATCATGACCAGAATTGCCCCTGCATTTCTGTCTGCTGTGTGACACAAGCAGTCTTACACACACACAGGCACATACACACTTCAGTTTAGAAGATGAGAGAAAGTGATCTGTTTGATCTTTAGGTTTGATCAGATTCACTTGACATCACGCCCACCCACCAACTCACTGCCACAGCTTCAAGCTGCACAGTTCTGATTTTCTTTATCAAGTATGAAGTGTCCTTACAGCTCTCCAGTTGTAGCGTGCAGGTCTGCTTGTCCATGGGATATTTGGTCAGATCCATGTTGCAAGCCACAGTGGTGGTAATCCTAAAAAAAAAAAATGTCATTATTGTTGGGGAATTCAGTGAAAGAGAACACCTACAGTACAGTTAATGCTATTGTTTGCAGTAGATTCTAGCTCAGTGGTTTCAACTCATGCCAGGTGTTTATTTAAACTAACAATAGAGCAGCTCTGTGAATTATTCCCCTGCTCTCTGGTTGAAGTTGTGCTGATGCGAGGAAGCAGCTGGCTTGGTTATATATGAAATGCATGAATTGAGCCCTCATGGCACATAGAGATCACTTGTAAAGGAGTCTTTGCGTTGCTGTCATGCTGTAAATCTGGGCCAGTATGTATGAGAATCTCTCACATTATAAATTTGGTCTTAAGGGCTTAAGAATGATGCAATTTCGGTCTTAGAATTAAAGTGACATGCATAATACGCTGCTTAGTGTTGCTCACGTGTTAATGTGAAATACAAGAATTCTGGTTAGTCTGAAGGCCATGAATGAAAAACACAATAAATATATATATATATAGTATACACATGAAATAACAAATGAAAATAATTCAAAATATATAAGTAACTCTTCTATAAAACAAAATTAGATCAGCTCCTGTACAGTATTTTGGAAGAAGAGAAACAATTTCAGATTTGAAGTATTTGATTTACATATAAACATTTTTGCGATCACCACAGATTTATTTAAAGGGCAACTATATCTTACTTCAACTCAATTTTTATGAAATAACGATAGGGGAGACATAGTATCTTCTATAAGCTGTCCTCTGGTAAGCATCAATACATTGAGTCATAGAAATGTTTGCTACAGATAATGACCAATTACAGGATGTGCAGAAGTGCTGATGATTGATGTGATGCAGCTTTGTCTGGCCTTCTATTGGCTATAGACCTAATTGTCTATATTTCATAACACTTCGCTGCAGTCAGCTCTTAAAGAATCTCAGTTACTTTTCTTCATACAAAGCTTTAAATTCCTAGATTCATTTTTACTCATTAAAGTTCAGAACCATTAAGACTTCTAATTTTGCAGAGGTTTCATACATACTGGCTCTGGTGTTAATTCACAATCAATGTAAGGACATTTTGTGTTGAAATTAAATATTATGAATATTGCTTACATTTCTGTACACCAATAAGCTGTGGCACGATGTCTTATTAAATGGGAAAATGGAGGTGGCTACCAGAAAAGGGGGCAGTTTACCATGCACCTGACTGCAACAATTTGTACAAGCCTTTCTCTAGTCTGTACTGAAACCTGGATTTCTGACTTCATTACATATTCCATTAAAAATATAAAGTGAATCCTCCTACACCATAAAAAGTAGCATGCAGTAATTCTAATTGAATCTACCCTCTTAACTGCTGAACCTTTGGCTCCAATCACCTCAGTGCTTTCTCATGTCTTCCCCCTGGCGCAGCATTGAAACATTTACCACAGCTGTCCTTTTCCTTCAACACCTCACATTTCTCACTCCACTCTGTCATTTTTCACAGGCCCAATTCCCCGAGGTGGCTATCCCTCTCCTCACTATCTTTTCTGGCTTGTTCTGCTCCCACTAGTCCTGCTCTCTGACTGTGAAGCGCTACCCTCTTCTGCATCTCCCTCTGTCAGGGTAAAGCCCATAAACTGTGCAGTTCTCTGTATGGAGGTAAAGGCCCATGAAGACTAGGGCATGCACACCCACGCATTCAGAACAACATAAATCAACAAATGGAGTCACACTGTACATAACAATGTCACGCACTTGTTAAAAATGGACAAGTGTGTGGAGACATGATTAACTGTGAGGCCAGACTGAACTGAGCCTCAATATCCAACCTATACTATAACACCCACCCCCCTCTGATAGTTAGAAAGTAGCCACTAGAACAGTGAGAATGTCTCCCATGTGACGATTTTTTTTCTCTTTCATTGTGTAACCAGAACATGTGTGGCCATGACAAAGCTGTACACATGACAAGAAGTTCAGAAACACTGAGATGAAGGAAGATAAGCTTCCAGTGAGCGGAGTCAAATCAGGACGACGGACAGCTCTTATACAATCCAAACACAGGCAGAGGTTAAGGCACGTGACTTAGACAGTAGGATGTGTAAATCCCATCATCACAGGCTTAAAAGAGCTGAACAAATTCACTTACATCTATAACCTGTCTGCTTGGCCTAATATCTAATCAAAAAGCCGAGGCACGTTTTAGAGGCTTGCCAAAGAGCTTGTCAGATGGAAAGCCTGTGCACACAGAGCAATAAATGCTGCAAAGATGCTAACAGGACTTGTGTTGCTTTGATAGCCCATAGCTCATTTTATTGACAGATCACATGCTCCTGTACTCGTACAATCCAATACCCGAGTAATAGAATTGACACAACTCTCTGCTTTGCAATCACATTATCTCAAATTCAACCCACGCTTCCTCCCTCAGCCAATTTCTTCCCCATTCCCTGGCCTACTTTTCATTGTCTGTTGGAGCAGAAAAAAACAAACACAACAACCAACAAAGCAACATGCTTGTTCGTTATTCCACCTCAGCGCGTAGAGGACGGTCCCGTTGGGGAAGATACGGATCAGCCTGTTCTCCACGGTGATGTCATGCAGGAAGGACTTCTTGGAGTCAACGATAAAGGTGTCGGGGACCCAGAGCAGCTCCACCAGCCGTCCGTCAAGGCTCAGGCTCTTATTGCCCTCGAACACCAAGCGCTCGTCCGTCCAGCGCTGACGGAGGAATATGGTGGCGGTGTAGTCCTGCAGGATTTGAACTCAGAGGTCACAACACAGCAAATGGACTGTCTTAACAAGCATGTCAATAACATGCTGACAAAAAAAGTGACATTTTTTGCAAACCAGGCTTCTCCTGTGTGCTTGTGTTTCATTAGTCAGCTTGTGGCTTTTTTATGCATTGTTGGGTATTGATGGCGGCAGGTCCCTAAGCCCCTTCTGTGCCTGAAGCAACAGTAATCCACAATTTTGCTTCATGTCAGCAAGTTTGCTCTGGTTTTTAGGACACTGAGCATGTTTTGTGCAGGACATCCATTCTAAGAGTACTGATGTTACATCATGTGTGGCTACGTAATCTATTTCTTATTATGTGGCAACGAGCTGCGAGTGCAATGTCCTAGCCAAGCATGTTGAGCCCCACAACAATGAACCGTCCCAGTGGAACGCCAGCCTTCTGTCCACTCTTTAAGTGAGGCTTACCCATGAATTGACCGTTGCATCTCGCTGTCAATCAACATGTGTGTAGTCCTTTTACCTCTGGACCAAATAAGCTATCATGCTTTGTTGTGACCGCTCCTTGTGTTTTGTTATGGTGAAAAGGTTTGGTTGTGTCTCCTGTGTCATTAAATTATTATATGGCTGCAAATGTTCTTTTTATCGATTGATCGGCTAATTATTTTCTTTTGTGGTCTTTAAAATGTCAGAAAACATTGAAAAGTGCCCATCACAATTTCTCAGAGCCAAAGTTGACCTCTTCAGATTGTTTGTTTTGTGCAACCAACAGTCCAAAACACAAAGATAGCTGAGTGTCATAGAATACAAAGAGAGCCGGCAAATATTCACAATTGAGAGACTGGAAAAGTTATCATAAATGGTTGCTGGTTTTCTTCACTAATTGATTCGTTGAGTAATCATTTCAGCTCTAATTGATTATGATCCTATTGTAAATAATTCACATTGTAGGTGCTGACCCTTGACCAAAAGGGACAGTGACGTAAGTAAGCTGTAAGCTTTGAGTTTAGGTTTGTTGTTGCACTTGATCAATTTTGATCTGTGTTATTGGTTATGATACTGTTGTAAAGCCTATATATGCCTATATCTGCTGTCAGTTACACCAAAACCCTCACATATTTCACTGATTAGTCAATTACCTTTGACAACTTCAGAATTCAAACAGCCATGGTTATGTGAAAAAGAAAAAACAGTCTAACATACAGTCTAACATCCATATTCAAAACTAACATGAGAGTTTGAGAGAAAGATGAATGGAACGAGAGAAATGATTTGGCCTGGGATTGAAAGAGTTAAGTAAAGTTAACTGGGCATTACCCATTAACTGATTAACTGTAAGTTACACTTAATGACTTATGAGCTTTTGGGTTTATTGTTGAATTCCAGTAATCAGCAGGGCATAGAAATATTATCTTACCATGTTGATCTCTGAGATGGTGTCAATGCTGGCAATGTCCAGACTCATGCCCACCGTTACAGGACCATCTAGAAACAAAGACGAAAACAACAATAGTTACGCACTGCATAATGTCTACCATTTGAATATATGCATTAAGTGTGTGTCTGTGAGTGTTAATGCATACATGTGACTGAGTTATAAGACATAACAGGACATATTAAGGAGGCATATGGCTATAAGGTTGTATAATAAAGCACAGTGTTGTATAATGAAAGGTTATGAAAGGACAGCATATTTAAAAAGACCCCACATCGCTGGCACATCAACAGCTGCAGTCTGTCGAGTGTGAACCTCCTTGAGGGAATTAGTTCTCCCTGATTCACCATCAAACAGGGGTAACTTCACTGCTCTCCTATGTTTCATCGTCCCATTCTCCTTCTCTCTCGCTTATCAATCTTCATTTTATTTGAGATAAATGAGTCTGTTGTCATATTGCGGCTACTGTAAGTGCCATTGTGTGCCTACTGTACTGCAGGGGTGTGGGTAAGTCCTGCAAAGACATAAAATGTTACAAAAAATAAAAAAACATAAAATGACGACATTTTAGTTTAGTTTACTTTCAAGGAACAGCTGAACATTTTGGGAAATAGGCTTATTCACTTTCTGGTGGAGAGTTAAATGAAAAGATTGCTATAACTCTCATGTCTGTACAGCAAATAATGAAGGTACCACTAACAGCTGGTTAGTTTAGCTTAGGATAAAGTCTGGAACAGGGGGGAACAGCTGGTCTGGCTCTATCTGAAGGTAACAAAATCTGCCTACCAGCACCTCTGTTCACTAATTAACATATAATATCTTGGCCAAAGTGTTAAAACAAAACACTTTGGCCTGTTTGATGGTAGCTGGATTCTGTTACCTTTGGACAGAACCAGGGTAGCTGTTTCCCCTGCTCCCTGCTCCCTGCTAGCTTGATAAGCAGCCTACAGGCATAGAGTGCTTCTAATTTTTTCATCTAACTCTCGACAAGAAAGCGAATATGTTTATTACCCAAAAGATGAAACTAATCCTTAGGTTACTTGTGCATAGAACATAAGGAATACGTTTTGAGTAAGGGGGCACTCCCCTTCAGAAATGTAGTAATGCTACTGGCTGTGCCTGGGGCTGTCTGGCCAGAAGATGACATTGACAAGCAGCGAAAACCCGGAACCTTGCACCAAAATGTTGAAATATGTACTCTATGTGTGTCTGAGAAATGCCATGAAAACACACAGCACTGGAGAGGAGTTCATGATGACTGCATTAGAGGTGTCACATAAATAAAATAAATGCTAGTATGTGTGTGGGTGTGTGAATATGTGTGCTCAGGTTTACCAGGACTTTTACCATCAGTGTGTGCCAAACTTTGTGTTCCTGGGCGGGAAGACTAGTGATGACTCTGAATAGCATTCGTCTTGGTAAAATCCTACGTGTTATTACAGATCAAACGGCGAGTGAACAAACCATAATCCCATTGTGACAGATTCCCGGAGCCCAGAATAATAACGCTAGTGAGGGATTTGCGAGAAATGACATAACGTTGTTCCTCAGAAAGCGTACACTGAGATAGACTCTGTTTCTCTATTGCAAGTAAATTAGTCACCTGGAATCTAACTCACATCATATATGAGCAGCTCCGATCTTGGTTAAATCACAAAGAACATTATATTTTAGATTTATATAGATATTTGTATTTAAGTACATCATGCACCCTTCTACTGGCCTCATATCAGTGTTTTATTTTCTCCTGCATACATTTCCTTATTATAATTTCATTAGACCTAAAGTACTTATGGAGCAAACCAATTTCAAAGATACATTTTTACTTCATCTCATATAATAATATACATATGCAGTAAATTTAAATGTATATATGTCAGCGTATATTACTCAGAAGGGACACGCAAGCAGAAATTGTGATATGAACCCCTCTTGTTCTCTGTCAAACACACATTTCCCTTGAGTACTCTGTCATTTCAATGGCTGCATGTGTCTGCAGTTTCCTTACTGTCAAAGAAAGGCCTGAGGTACTTGTTGTATCCTTTCATCAGCCTCTGAATAGTGGGAGGCAGAATCTCTCCTTCTTTTACTTCTGCGTTGAGCATAGAATTCTCTAACAACCTGAGAGCAAAAAGATGGTGAAAGAAAGAGGTAAAGAGAAAAGAAACAGAAATAAGAATTATTTTTCGCGTCTCCTCCCGTTGTGCATTTACCAGGTGGCTTCCTCTTCACGACCACCTCACTATTCACACAATCCACAGGGTGCCGATTGAGTCCCACAGCAAATCTGACGAACCATGCCGGGTGGAAGAAAAAACGGGAGATTAAAATGGCAACATGGAACTGGAAAACGAAAAGAAACAGAATAGCAGAAGCAAAAATGCTTCTTTTAGTTATTAGATTACCTTGAATTGACTGGTTTCTGCATATTTTAAACCATCCATGTCTCCATTTTTTCCATTCACTTACGCTTTGAAAATTACTGTTTGCTTTCATGAGATTTTTTTTCCCCCCGTTGTTTCCGAATGCTATCCTTAAAGGCACATTGAAGTGTGGGAAGATGATTATATTGCTGGCAATTGCGGCAGGGGAAAAGAACACTCATTGCGCCTTTCCCCAGTGGTATGTGTGTTTGTGTATATTTCAGGCTCTAAATACAGAACGCCTGCTCTGTAGAGAGAAAGCCCCGGGGCACGTGCATGATGTAAGGGGGGGCTGTAGCAGACAGATCAGGCCATGTGCAGAGGCAGAAAACATTCATCTCCACATACTGGCAGAGTCCCCTCTGTCACTTGTACGCTGCTGTAGTCAAATGTATGACAAGGAGAGCAGGGATATAGAAGTGTGATGGCCTGCTTTTCTTATCACACATATCCACACATTCACAGGTCATTCATCACTAGGGTGCAGATGCTACGTGTTCTAAAGCTCCAGAATATTATTGGAGATTCATTTTAATATTATTATTGATGTCAACAAGTTAATCGACTTGGAGAAGTGAAGATAATTGGTAGTTTCTATCTCATCCGTTTGGTACTGTTTATGTTAGTGCGCTCTATAAACCCTATTGCTTTCCCGTCATGATGCGGAAAAGGAAAATCAACATCCTCTTTCTGTTTTATTAAGCAATCTCATTTTGTCGTAAAGCAAGCCAGTAGGTTTCCCACAATATCTGACCCTGTGAGACACGGTTTCTTTATTTCATCTTGTTTGTGTTAATTATAGAAACATCTCATATTAAAGAAACATCTCACATCTAGTATGTGAATGTAATTATTTATTTATGATAAAATGCTACATGTAACCTGTTTTAGCTTTGTTTACTGTATGAAGACACAGTCATTGCACTTTATGGAGCAAAGCCAGAGTCTAAAAAAAAGTTAACTCTGTGAGGCCGACTAAGGAACAGCTAAATGTTAATGATAGCATGGCGACTGGCTCACAATGTGAATGCTACCCGGTACAGCAATGTCTACCATGTTCTGCATCTTAGTTAAGTGTGTTGCCAGCATTCTAACATTTACAAATTAGCACTAAACACAAATTACAGGATGGGAATGTCATTAGCTTTGGAGGTATTCGGTAATAAACCAAAGCATTGGACCAGGTGATATATTAGCCTGATGGCTGTATAGTAGCTCTGGATGAAAAGTCCTGTTTCCCTGTAGACATTTTGACATGAAAAGGGTAAACACAGGTGTTACCGGATACTAATTGAGGTTTTTATTCCATTCAGGTCAAACAGAGTCAGGATGCATGTTGGCACACAGTTGCTACAATGGAACCTAATTAGTATCATTGGTTACACCTGTGTTTACTCCACTATTTCAAATCAAAATGGCTGCTTTGAAAAAGGTCTATTAGTAATCATCCTCTGGAGACCTTGATTATCTACGCCAAATTTCAAGTAAATGCATTTAATATTTGCTGACACATTTCACAAAAATGGGAATATATGCAAATGTGAATTTGTACATAGATTTTTATGAAAATAAATTCTGTATGTCCTGTCTTAATAATTAATGGAGGAAAATAGTGGTTTAAGTTATAATGAGGTTCAAATGGAGGTTGGAAAATGATTTAGAATGAATTGAATGTGTTTATCCTGAATAGTTCCAGGGAATGCTTTTTTCTGTATTATTCATAATATTTTTTTTTCATATTTAATTCCATGTCACTATGTGAATGTAAATTAATCTACATTTATGATGCATACAGGATTACCATAGGGAATAGATGTAGAGATGTTATGCAATGGCAACTCAGTATTTTAGTTACAGTTGATTTTTAAATGTAACAGCTCCTCCATAATGAACGCAGAGGGTGGGGGAAAAAAACAATTAAAAAAAATGTCAACCTGAATGTCTGTACCAATACTCATTCCAATCCATTCAACATTTGTGGAGATATTTCAATCTGGATCGAAGTGATGGATCAACCGACCCACAAGAGCAGAGAGAGATTCTGGGAGATTCTTGAGCAAAGAGTAAAAAAAAATACAGCAAAGATATCAATTATCATTTTTCACTTACATTTAAACTTCAGAAAACATGTTGCCTGGATCCATTTTGTTTTTAACAAGAGGGAGTCCATTTCCTTCCTAAAATCACTGTATTTTGTGTGTTCATAATTTGACCGAATTACACATTGACTAAGGAATACAGAAAGGTACAAAGGTGTATGAATAAAATGAAGAGCCATTGAAAAAATATATTGGAAGAATTTATGAAATCAGTTCACAGTGTCCAAATCCATCTATGAAAGAATCACTAGCACAGGCTGTTCTGCTGGTCAATCCACCACACGGCTTGAGAGAAACGCACAGAATAAGTCTTCTCCGAGAAACTCAAAACTTGTTTCACCTGACTGTGTCAAATCAGCTTAGACAGCGGGGTAACTCGCTCCCAGCGCACTGTTGCTATGCTGCATAAAGTCTCACTCACATGGCTTCTAGCCTGTTGTTTTAGCAGGCAACAGCCTTGGATGGGAAAGCCATGTTAGTGACGGTAGTGACAGCACACTGCCTCTGGCATACTGCATTATCAATCTGGGTCGCCCTGTGTGACCCTCGTTACATTCACAAATGGCTTTGCATCTGTTTAACTGTATGAATGGGTCCGTGTGTATTTCAAATTATGCCTCTGCAGGGACACAGAGGAGGAAAGCAGCAAAAAAACACATTGTGGGGGGCAATCTCATAAAACATGGACAAAAATGTCAGGTTAAAGAAAAGATTTTGAATTGATTTAAAAAAAAAAATAGAATTCAAGGCAAATACAGAATAGCACTTACTGATAGCGACAGAGCTATTCATCTTTGATGTTTGTCAGTGTTTTGCAGTCTGACAATGAAACACAGCTTCAGAATGTGTGCTAAAAGCCCCCAGCTCCTCTCAGTCTATCCATCTCTGTAAATCCCCAGACTCTAACTTCTGGCTGTCTAAACCTTCACCTGCAGACGTGGATGAGACCTCAGTTCTCCAACCTGCCAAACAGTCTCTATCCACTGAGCCCTGACAGTGAAAAAAAGAAAAAGCTAGATCCCCAAAAACCTCCCAGAATCACACAGGCTGCTAATATTAACAGCTCATCTCTGGAATTTATGTACAAGGCAACATGATCGTGAGCAAGCAGGATCAAGACAAGAGCATAGTAAAACTGTGTGACGCAGTGGCAACCACACATAAACTCACGCTATGCACGCACATGCATGCAAACACGCATACAGACACAAACAAACATCACTCATATTTATGTACTGTAGAGTCCCTCTCTCCCCAGATGAAAGCACCGTCTGCAGAGTGCACAGTTTCCCAGAATGCACACTGACAGACCCGACACACCTGCCCACCAGGCTGCCTATCATGAATAACAAGATGACATGTTGAATGCCCACAACTGAGATGAAGAGGGCCTCTGCCATGCAAAGTCACAAGCTATTGCTTGGTTTCATCAAACAAAACATAAATTTACATTTAACATTTTTTTCTTTTTTAATTAGTGTTGCTGCTTTATAACTGTTGTACATCAGCTGCCATGAACATTCAAAAACACACTGGCAAATATTATAGTATTATAGTTAGTGATAATGTGGTTTCATATGACTATTTTGTGTCTGCTGGTAGATCATGTAGATGTGGTACGAAGGCTCAGTGTCACCTTACACCTCACCATGTAAACGCACCAGCTGGATGTCCACCCACAAACACATGCAGGTTATACTTGGATACCCTGTAGGCGTGAAGGTGTTTTTCTGTCCATGAGTGTTAGCCCTGTGATGGACAGCCTGTCCAGAGCGTACCCTGTCTCTGACCCATTGTATACTGGGATGGACTCAAGCCCCCTCCCAACCTTGAACATATTTAAAATGAATGGATGGGTGGATAATTTTAAATTGCAAACACTACATTTGGCATTTATGATGCCGTAATGAGCCTCATGATTAAATGAATGATGACTGCAGGACTTAGTGGCATCTAGTGGTGAAGTTGCAGATTGCACCCAACTAAATATATGGCTCACCTTCAAAGTGAAAGAACACAAAAGGCCCTTTCTAGAGCCAGTATTTAGTTTGTCCATTCTGGGCTACTGTAGAAACATGGCGGTTTAACATGGTGGCTCATTCTAAGGTAACGAAAACACAGTTTTTGTTTTCAGGTGATTATAATGAAAACCTAAGCATATTATATTCCATTTCTGCCGACAGATCCTCCTGAACGTTACTTACTGTTCATAAACACTACATTTGCTGATGCATAGTCAGGGTCTAACCTCAGTGATTTCCACTTGGAAGTAGCAGGACATTTATCAGCATGTAAAAGCATATAAATGAGTTAGCATAAATAATAGGTAAGAAAGTTATCATAGTAAGAGCCTCCACCAGTAACTGCTCCCAGTGAGCAGTTTTTGACTGACAAGTGATCCCTTGGACACTTAGTGACACCAAAGAGATTGCAAACATTTCAAGAAATGCATCAGATTACCACTTCAACTACTAGCTCAACAGTTGGATGTCGACATGAGCAGCAGAGTTGTGTGACACCGGCTGATTTCTGAGGGCTTGATCTGTCATGGCACTTGAAGCAGCTACATTATCAGTGCAGACACATGACACTGTGGATC